CTGTCCTGCTTCGTAGCATAGGCTTGCTGTCCCCTGTAGGCTCTAGCCGGTGAAGCTGGCTTAACTGGGACAGGCCAGTGGTCTCAGAAGTGGAGTTCCCTAGGTGAGATCTTGCAGGGGCACAGTGGAAACTTGCCCCTAGTGAAGGGAGAAAAGGTTTTCCTTTCCCCAAGGTTGTCAAACCTCCAAAAAAAAAAACCCAAGAACAATTTGATGTCTTCCTCGCTAACTGAAAGGACAATTTTTTGGGTGAGGAGCTGTTAACCTTCGAGACATGGGCAAGTCCATGCCTAGGGTGGGTTAAGAAGCAGGATTTCTTTTCCAGTGTCTGTGTGTCAGCCTGGTCAGCCAAAACCCATCTGTAAAGATGGCTCCTTGAGGGTTAGAGCTGTGAAGTGCACAGTATACAAAATGAAGAACCATAGCTGTTTGTGATGATGAATGGTAGTGACCTCCCCTCCCCAAGAGGGTGTGAGGGAGCAGGTATTTGGGAGGGATCTCAAACTTGTTGTTGCTTCTTGGGGAAGCTGAGATGGGAAGCATTGGGCAAGTGCTGTTGTGCCTGTCGTGCAGAAGGGTTGACTCACAGAGGCTGCTGTGGTCACTGGTCCTGTCTCCCCACGGGGGATGGAGCACAGCTGACAACACAGAGCAAAAGGGAAAGAGTTCAAATAGCAGGAAGGACATGATGGATGTGTTTGTTTTCCTGTTTTGTTTATACTCAGAGCTCCGATGGGTGATGGTAACCTGGGGGGTTTGTAGGACAATTGGTTGGTCTTGGCGCATGGGGCAGAAAGCCCTGCTGTGCCAAGGACAACTGGGCACCTGAGTCTATCCGGAGAGGCTGTCCGTGCTCTGGGAGGACCAAAGCCTCTCTGATGCTGGCCTTGAATTGCCAGCTGCATCTAATGCTGCTCCTGTCTCCTCTGCAGACCACCCATTAAGCTGTTGCCTGCCAGGGAGCGGAGACATGTGCTTTCTGAGATCCTCTGCGGGCTCTGCTGTTTGCACTCACACGTAACCTTCCTGGCTCCCTCTCCCTTCCCTCCCTCCCTGCAGTTCCCTGCTGGCCTGGCACACGCTCCGCTTGCTGTCCTTGTAGCTCAGCTGCCTCCCTGCACCCTTGGCCTCCTGGTTCTTCTCTCTCCCCCTCCTTCTTTGCTTCCTTTTCAGTCACGGCTCAATCAATTAGAAAAGCTGGGATGCAAGGTGAGAGCTCTGAGGTCTTGGGTGTGGAGACATGAGCTGGATGCCTTTATTCTGAACTGTAACTTTGCAAATGTTTTGGTATATTGCTAATTGTAGAATCATAGAATGGTTTGGGTTGGAAGGGACCTGAAAGGTTGTCTTGTTCCAACCCCCCTGCCATGGGCAGGGACACCTCCCACCAGACCAGGTTGCTCAAAGCCCCATCCAGCCTGGCCTTGAACCCCTCCAGGGGTGGGGCAGCCACAGCTTCTCTGGGCAAACTGTTCCAGTGTCTCACCACCCTCACAGTAGAGAATTTCTTCCTAATATCTAATTTAAATCTCCCCTCTTTCAGTTTAAAACCATTACCCCTCGTCCTATGGCTCCCCTCCCTGATCAGGAGTCCCCTCCCAGCTTTCCTGGAGCCTCTTGAGGTATTGGAAGGGGCTCTAAGGTCTCCCTGGAGTCTTCTCTTCTCCAGGCTGAACAATCCCAGCTCTCTCAGCCTGTCTTCATAGGAGAGGTGCTCCAGCCCTCTGATCATCACTAATAAATGACAAAATTAGGATGTTTGTACACAAAACCTGTTTTGCCCTTGCTGGGAAGCAGATTCTCCTAGAGCTGGGCCTGGTTGGATACCAGCTCTTATTAAATCCTGGTATGTGCTGCTGGGCTCTCTGGCCAGGGGTTTGTTTGTGGGGTGGTTTGGATAAATGTGCTTTTGGAAACTGCTGGTGTTGTCTTCCCCCACCACGTCTCAACAGTATTGTGCCAAGAACAGGGGGCAGAGCTCCCAGTTCACTGCTGCCTGACAGTGGGGTCGAGCATCAACGTCTCCGGGTGAATTGGGATCTCCTGCACAGATGCAATTACAAATTCTGGCCTGATTATGCTGGAAACAAGTGTTGCCAGGGCTTATCTTTATAGTCAAGTGGTAAGAGGAAATGCTGCAGCTTTCCCAAAGCCAGATACTGTAGCTGAGTTTTGCAGACCTGAGATATTCTGATGAGCCAGGGAAGGTGATAACCAGCTGGCAGGGCACTTACGGAGGGCTGAAGCAAGCACTTGCAATAGATATGGTACCATTATCGTTGTTAACAATACAAATATGCTTTTACTTATTACTTGGTGAGTACCCCATTGGAAGTCATTCATATTTAATTAGCATTGATTCTTTTTGAGTGACTTGCTCTGAAACCTGTGGCATTGGAGCCCCCGTCTCTCGCTCAGACAGCGAATATCACATAACCAGCCCTTCACTTCGTCAGCAAAAAAAAATAATATAATAATTCTATTTAGGACTGAAAATTTATGCTTCTCATATTGAAAATGGTGATGATAATTTTTCAGACTATTGCTGGTAACTGGTTAGGTAAGGCTTTGTAGGGAGCAAATGGCAGGTGATGTCTTTAATGACTGTTTTATTTTTTTTTTAGAGTGTGCAGGATACCAACTGGTCCTTGTACAGACAAGGATCAGCCCAGCAGTACCTTGTCTTGAGGATTGCTATTGGGATTAGCTTTAATTCAGAAGGGATTATCAGTTTGCTGTCCCGGTCAAAATGCTCCAGGATTTTGTGAGCTACTCCTCGGAGGCTCTTATTTGCTGAAAGGGTGGGGGGAAAAATGGGGGGACCCAGTTCTGCAGACTTTTTTTAGGTTTGCCAAGGTGAAGAGAAATGAGATCTCTGGTACCTTGGCAAAAGGGTACCAGAGAAGGGGCAAACCAAGTGACTGATGCCTTAAAGCAACACATGCTCATAAGGAACCACCTGAGTAGGATGCTGAGATTTCTGAGCTTTCAAGATTTCCCTGTATAAAGGATTTTAGTGGTCTGTACTTTGAGGAGATGGGATATCTACCCTCCTGGCAAGCAGGGCTTCCTCCTCTCAAATCCCTGTATCCATCCATCTCAAAGTAACTCAGTGCTGTGGGGTGGATACTGGCAATGCCCATCAGTGGCTGAAGGAGAGGGAAAACATGCCTCTCTGAGGCTGTGTGTCCCCTCTGAGTGGAGGAGAAATATTTGTTATTCGAACCAAGGCTCATAAAATTAGATGCTGTCTCCTTGGAAAACATGCCTCTCTGAGGCTGTGTGTCCTCTGAGTGGAAGAGAAATATTTGTTATCCAAACCAAGATTCATAAAACTTGATCCTGTCTCCTCCTAGTTACCAGGAATGGCTTTTCCATTAAGTGCTTGTGATACCACTGGGCTGTGACCCTTGAGAGCCCAGGGGTGCCTGTAAGTGCTGATAAACACGGGGAATTTCAGGTCTTCAGCCAGAGCCAGGGCTGTGTCTTTCTCCCCTGTACAGAAGGCCTGCCTTGTAGGACTCTTGCTCCAGCAAAGCCCTTGATATAGGAAGGACAGGCAATGGGGGAAGAGTTGCAAGGCAAGAAGGTTTTTTTGGTGGTGGATTTCAGAGGCAGGTTGGTGGAATGGAGAGCGGAACAGCAAGCAGATAAATACATGTAGTGTTAGCATCTGCTAGGTAGGTAGGGCTTTTTGAGTTGTCTGACCTGGGTTACTTGCTTGCCCTTCAGCTTAACCAGAGGTCTGGTTAATTGCCATCTACATTTTGGAATCGGCCCGAAAAGGACAACCAGCTTGTAGAACAAAAGGCCAGTGGTGGTAGTGGTGTATGTCGTGTCTCATGGGGGAGAGCTCTCTTGCTTACTTGAGTTTTAATTCAAAAGCACAACTAGAGTGTGAAAGCCAAATGGCTGCCCTGGTGGCTGTCTCCTTCTAGTTACCAGGAATGGCTTTTCCATTAAGTGCTTGTGATACCACTGGGCTGTGACCCTTGAGAGCCCAGGGGTGCCTGTAAGTGCTGATAAACACGGGGAATTTCAGGTCTTCAGCCAGAGCCAGGGCTGTGTCTTTCTCCCCTGTACAGAAGGCCTGCCTTGTAGGACTCTTGCTCCAGCAAAGCCCTTGATATAGGAAGGACAGGCAATGGGGGAAGAGTTGCAAGGCAAGAAGGTTTTTTTGGTGGTGGATTTCAGAGGCAGGTTGGTGGAATGGAGAGCGGAACAGCAAGCAGATAAATACATGTAGTGTTAGCATCTGCTAGGTAGGTAGGGCTTTTTGAGTTGTCTGAACTGGGTTACTTGCTCGCCCTTCAACTTAACCAGAGGTCTGGTTAATTGCCATCTACATCTTGAAATTGGCCTGAAAAAGGACAACCAGCTTCTAAAACCAGAGGTCTGGTTAATTGCCATCTACATTTTGGAATCGGCCCGAAAAGGACAACCAGCTTGTAGAACAAAAGGCCAGTGGTGGTAGTGGTGTATGTCGTGTCTCATGGGGGAGAGCTCTCTTGCTTACTTGAGTTTTAATTCAAAAGCACAACTAGAGTGTGAAAGCCAAATGGCTGCCCTGGTGGTGGGAGTCTTGCTCAAATGGAAGTGGGATGCATTTTCCCCTTTCTGCACTTATTCCTCTGCATCAGTTCGTAAAGATGCAAAATAAGCTGCAGCTGTCTGCTAAATTTTCTTCAATACAAGCCAAATTTACTGTTTTTGTTTGTTTAAACTAGAAAGATTTGAGCTTAAGTCTTGGTATCTTTTGCTCTTCAATGGAGTAACGACTTGTAGACCCAGCGGGGACACCAAACCTTTCCACCCTAGCCACGTGCTCCTAAAACTAGAGATAGCAAAATCTCTCTGCTAATTTTCAGTTTAGTATTGAGTATTTGTCTCCAAAATTTGCAATAGGGAAACATTTCTCCATCCCTCCAATCAGCTTGGACTTCAAGCATGAGGCAACTTTTGTCTCCTCTGTTTCATATCTAATATGCTCTTTTTCCCAGGTGACCCTCCACGAGCTTCTGTCTGGCTTTACCAGTGTGGCCTCTACTTGCTGATAACGGGTTTGGGGAAGGCTGTGATTAGCCTCGTTGTGTTCATCCCTGGTTTGACAAAGGTAAGTTCCTGAGCTGTAATTTTTCCAGCTGCAGCTGTGTGGGCTGTTTCTTGTCAGCTTTGCCTTACTGGTCGTCCCCATCATCATAGGTCTTTAATCCTTATGACTTGTTGATATCTCTCTAATAATTAGGCGTTACTTAATTTTGGGAAAACATGCCTTTTGTAGCAGTTTGGCTTTTGCTAGTCAAAAGCTAGTGGAATAAGGTGCTGCTTTAATTATCTTTTCCGTCCTTGGAAGGATAAAATGGGCTGGGCTGGCAGCTGAGCTACTTGAGTTCAGCCAGAGGATTTTTACATTGTCTGGTCAAGTCAGTTCATGTTGGTGTTTCATGATCCCATACCTAAGCTAGGGGGACTCCCAGGGGTTAATTTGGGAAGAACTATCCAAGTAGTATGTTGTCTTTCCGCTCCCCAGCTGCTTCTGTGTTGTAGTTTGTGCAATGGTAGCTGTGTTGATTGTGAGTTTCTCTTTTAAAAAATAAAAACTAATAATCTGTGGCACTTGTAGCCACGTACCTGGTGGTGGGTAGGTTTGATGGGTATAAAAATCAATTCTGGGAGTCAATGGGTAACTCCAGTTTTGAGGGCGTTTAGACAGAGTGCCTGGTACCTCACAGGCTGATGTGACTTGACCAAAGAGTTATTTACAGCAATCAGGGAGCACTTATCTGCTCCTTGTTAAGGGCTTGTGCTTCAAACCCAGTAGCCTGCTGTCCTCAGATTTGGACATGAAATGTGTTGTTCAGCAGCACGCACTGATAGATTGAGAGATGCTGCTGGATTCCTCTCCACGCTCATGGCTGGTGTCCTTATTTTCCAGCGAGGCTTCAAGGAGCCACGGAAAGTCCCACCAGTTGTTTTGATCTGTAGTTACACTGAAAGACTAGCAGCCCTTCTGTCTTGCTCTGTACAAAATCAGATGTTTGGCAGCTGGGCTGAAAGAATAACCCGTGTCATCTTTCGAAGAGCTGGGCTAAAGCAAAAGCTGCAGACAGAGCCCTGGCTGTAGGAGGCTGCTGGTGTAGGAAGGCAAGCAGTTTGCAGCAAAGATTTCACAACAGAGGTCTTCAAATAATGTCTCTAAATGCTTTCTCTTCTGCAGCTGCAGCAGATCTTCCTGGGTTACATCTCAGATCCTGGGCTGGAACTCATCGTGGTTGTGATTGTTGTGCCTTTTATAGTCAATGTAAGTGATGCCTCTGCAAGTGCTGGGTGGGGTGGTTTGGAAATCATGGTCCTCCATCAACAGGGAGCATGTACAGAAACTGGCTTGGGGCAGCCTCGAGTCATTGAAGTGGCTGAGACAGGGTGGAGGGGAGTGGAAACAAATATATTTATGGCCACAAATGCACAAATCTGTCACTACTGCCCTGCCATGGTCGTAATTCCCACTCCCTTGTCCAAGCTGCTGGGTGGCTGACTCTTTCACTCCTTGAGGAAAGCTTGGCCACGTTAGCTGAGGGCTGCATCTCAGCAGCAAGTTACAGGCAAGGGGATGCCCCAAAGCTCTTTATGTTCCTATAGGATGGTTTGTCAGTGGTGACCTCTGGCAACTTGTCAGTCCAGCCATTTGGCCAGGCTTCAAATTGTATTACAGCAAGGCAAGGTGTTCAGGTGACCCAAAACTGCTGTTCTCCTCCAAACATGTTTGGCAAAACCTCGTGAAAGCTCAGCTTTTTTCCTGGTGCCCCTGATTCTGGGTAATCCTTGACCTGCTGCTCAGTTCCTGCTAAGATGGGAAGTGAGAACAAGGTGTTAGTATTCAGATGCCCCCTGGACAAGGAGAGAGTTGGACTCTTTTCAGCTCGTACCATGAGTATTGCAGTGGATGCAGCGTTGGCAAAGTTGAGGCTACCTGCCTCTGCTACCAGCTTCTCTCTCTGCCACCTCAGATGGCATTTTTTTATTTGAAAGCAAACTCTGGTTCTCAAAGAGCTGACTGGGTACTGGTGCAGACAGAGCAGATGAACGTTGGATGGAGCTTGGTTTGATGGTTATTTTCTGGTGGAAGTTTGAAGTCATAGAATCATCTAGGCTGGAAAGGACCTTTTAAGATCACCAAGCCCAACTGTTAACATAACACTGAAAACTCACCACTAAACCATTTCCCTCAGTACCACATCTACCCATCTTTTAAATACATCCAGGGATGGTGACTCAACCGCTTTCCTGGGCAGCCTGTTCCAATGGTTGATAACCCTCAGGCTATCTTAGTCTTTTTACTCTGGGTTTTCAACAACTATGGAATCAACAGGATTTATATGAGAAGGGACCTCAGGAATTCATCTTGTCCAACCCTCATGGACACACCAGATGCAGGGTTAATTTGGATATTAAATTAGGTTGACCAAGGCTGCCTATCTGGGGAAAAAAGGAGGAAAAAGCAGCTGTGATTGAATTACTTTGGTCTCTGCAATCTATTCATGCAACTTCTTTCTCCCCAAGGCCGCTATGTTCTGGGTTGTGGACGGCTGGATCATGAGGAAACACAAGCAGAAGAACACCCTGGACATCAATGGATCTATAGAAACTTCTCAGGCTAGGTGGACTGAGGATTCTCGGGTAAGACCAAGGATGCCCTGTGTTTGAGACCAATCTGCAAGACTGTGGTGTGGTTGGTGGGCTTTACCACAGCTGTGAAACATGCCATCACGTTGCCTAATCCCCTTCATGAACGTGGGGGATGAGCCTGCAAAGCCAAACAAACTTTTCATGTGTGCAGCTGAGGTCAACAGAGGGGTGTTTCCTGGGAGGGTCTCACCCTGTCTGACAATGAAGAATATCTTAGACTCTGTTGAAATATTTCCCTAAATGATGACAGTCTCTGGTGGGGTATGAGCTAGCTTCTGCACAGACCTGTGGGGCCTTGTTGGAGTGGCAGCCTGAAGCTGGTGGGTACCTCTGCCCTGTCTCTTCCAAATTACCCATTTTTAATTGTAACTAATCTTGGCTTAGAAGGGCGTGCTTTCCTCGCTGTAATTGGAAGCATCCTTTTCTAGAGCACAAGGCCTAGCAAGGGATTCTATTTTGTGTCAGTGTTTGTTTTTTCTGCCAGATGATGGTTCCTTAGCTGTGGGAAGCTGCATTTTTTGTAGTGTGAACTTGACACTTAGAAGTTATTGGGGGGCAGGAAACGCTTCAGTCCCAACAGACTTTGTTCTTATTAATGACACGTGGTTTGCTGGGCAGGTGGTGTCTGTGCTTCTCATCAGCTTTTGGGCAGAGACCAACCTGAGTCACTGGGTTCAATTCCCTTCTTTCCCTGAATACACAAACCCTGTTTCAAAACACTCTGTGAATGACTGCTGATATCCCATAGTTCGCTGGCAAGACTTGCTGAGATAAGAGCTTCTGGTGGTGGCAGGCTGGCTCCTGGAGTAACTTCTGCCAAGGAATTTAGGATGAACAGAAATAGCTCTTGCTCTCTGAAAAGCTCTTTTTATAAAGAATAACTCCTCTTTTGTGCTGATGGGTGGGATGGCCAATTACTGGTGACATTGCAACGCACATGGAGGTGACAGTGTTTAACGGTGTGCTTGGCAGTCTGCACAGCAGCCATGGTCTCCACAGCTCAAGGATGCAGTAGGGAAGTGGCTGACACTCATGGAGACACACTGTCAGAGGAATCCTCCCTCTGGCAGGAAGGCCAGGCAGATGTGAGCAGCTGTTGAGACAAATGAGTCACTCCTTCTGGCCCTGCCTCCAGATAAACAGTTGTAGCTTGGCGGGGTCACCAGAAACATGTGAACGTTGTGCCTCAGGGAGTTTTCTGACTGATGTGTGTGGTGAGGGCATTCTCAAGAAGTCTCTGTTGCTTTGGAGAGAGGAGGGAAGAGGTGTCCAAGCTGGGCACTACCAGTATGTCTTGGTGGTTATGCATCAAAGCTGAGAACTTACACCTAGGATGTGCAGGTGGATTGTCTCTGAACTTGTCCCTGGGTATGGCACAACACCTTGGTGGTGACTGATGTTCGAGAGTGGAACTTCCTCAGGAGAGCTAGGTTGTGGAGGTCTGCTTCAAAAGGTAAAGCTGGTGGTGAAGATCTGCCTTACTGACTGAATGTGCTGGTGTGTTCCTGAAGGTTTAAGATCAGTTAAAATTACACCAGCTCAGAAGTGAGAGTGAGGAGGCAACATCTGTAGTTGAGACACCAACCTCCTTCCCAGCCTTCTGAACCTGAACTTGCAGCATCCAATCCCATAGATGGTGGTGGCTGTGGATACACAGATGGCGGTGTAGTTACTGGTCCCCCATGGAAATGGAGCTGGCCCCCTGCCTTCTAGTTTTTCTCAGACAAATTTCTGCTGAGACCTTCAGTGTCCAGGTCATCTGTCCATCTTGAAACCCTCTGAGCCATCACTGCAGTGGAGCTCCCAAGGGGATTGGTTCATACCTGGAGCAGTCTATGGAGACTGCCTCCTTCCTGCTCAGACATGTTCTGGTGCCTCTGGCCCAACAAATAATTTGGGCAGAGAAAGAAGATAATGAAGACGTAGAGAAATGGGTGACCTGCTTTTCCAATCCTGCTTCTTGGCACTGGGCCTCAATCAACTCATGGGATTGACACGGAGGCTTCCACTTCATCTGTCAACATTTTAGGCTATAAATCAAAGACCGTGTTGGTTGGCTGGGCCTTATAGCTGGATTGGCTGGAATTTAGGCTCAAAAAAGAGAAAATAATGGATTTTCTGGGCTGGTTGCTGCTAATAACCTGTTCAAGTGGAGGAATTTCTTCCTTCCCTGCTGCCCAGCAGAGGAGGAAGGAGGGGGGCTGAGAAGCATCTGCACAGGGCAGAGCTGGCTGGGGCTAATGTGTCCCGCCGTTTATCAGGGTTCATCAGGGCTGTCTGGCAGCAGGCGCCAACAGCTCCCCATCATGCTGCCTTCTTGAATTTCAACCCTCTGCCTATCTTGCCAGTAGAGAGTGTCCTTATTTTCCCTTGAACTAGCAGTTTGTGTTTGGGAAAGGAAGGGGGGGAGAGGAAGGAGAATGGAGAGAAGGGGCTGAAGTTAACCTGTTCAACACCCACACTTGCTATTTATGCTAGGGACAGCAGGAAAACTCAGCTCTGTCCTTGGCTTGGTAGACCAGCTGGGTGGCAAGAGGAAACCCAGCAACCAGGAATCTTGCCACCCATGTCACTTACCAACTCTGTGGCTGCAGTGTAGACCAAAGAGCTGGCACCTTCTTGTGGGTTTTAAGGCTCTTCTGGTGAGGCATGGATGGGACCGTGGGCCCTTGCTTATAACGAGGCAAAGGCTGAGCTCTTTTACACTGAAATCTTGAAAGGGACAAACTCACTCTTATGGCTGGAAGAATTTCACTGTTCCTTCCAAGTCAGCCTTAAAGCTTTCTGTTGTTTCAGACTTGTGCTCTGTCTTGGTCTTCACACAGTGGGGGTTTTTTGCCCTCTTGTGGTATGGAAAGATGTCTCTGAGTGCCAGTTTGAGTCCAGTGCTCTCCAGGCCGAGGAAATGCATTCATCTCCATGGCCTTTATTTCTGCTTTGCATGTGTCCTGCTGTTGACCCAAGTTTCTTTTCCTTTGCCCTTGCAAGTGCCAGTAAACTTTAGATCTTATCAGGGATTTCTTTGTTTCCTCCACTTGGGAAAGCAACTCAGTTTTAATAATATTTCATTTGATCTTTTTTGAAGTTGTTTCTATTTTTTTCCCCAAGGGCGGTTGTGTGAGCTGCTGCTCCTTTTTTGGAGGCTTACATTTCCAGAGACGTGCCTTAAAGCAAAACTTAGTATAACAACAGTGGTAGAAGTGGGAACCATTAGAGTGAAACCAGAGGCTAGTTTAAGGTTGGGACGTAAGCACTTGCTTTTGGTCAGTGTGGACTTCTCCACCTGTTCCAATTCCCTTCATAGGAGTTGTGATTTTTGGCAAATCCCTAGGCTGAAGATGCTGATGAATGCCAATACCTATGTTGCTTGCTTTTAAGTATGGAAGAATACTTCAAGAGCGAGTTTGATTTGCTCATTACTTAGCTGATTTTTAAATAGCTCAAGGTGAACTGAGGTGCCTTACGGGGAAACTAAACTAAACTAAGATGGGCATAAAGGTGCCTCTGGAAGAAGGTTCTCCCACCCTGGTGACTCATGGGAACCTATGGAAGCTCAGATGCAGGAGGATGGTGGGATGGTTCCTACTTCTAGACCAGGCTGGTGGAGCTTTAGGCAAACAGGTTTCCATGGCTAGCAAAGAAATGTCCCCAATTCTTTGTTTGACAACCTGTGTCATAGTTATCATTTGCCACTGAGGTGGCTTAGTTATCTAAGGGGGTATCTTGGGGATCTTATCAATGCTTACAAATACTTAAAGGGTGGGTTACAAATACTTAAGAAGGATGGGGCCAGTCTGTTTTTTGAGTGGTGCCCAGGGATAGGACAAGAGGAAATGGGCACAAACTTGAATATAAGAAGCTCCACCTAAACATGAGGAGGAACCTCTTTCCTGTGAGGGTGGCAGAGCCCTGGAACAGGCTGTGCAGAGGTGGTGGAGTCTCCTTCTCTGGAGACATTGAGAACCCACCTGGACAAGTTCCTGTACAACCTGCTGTGGGTGGACCTGCTATGGCAGGCGGGTTGGACTAGATGATCTCCAGAGATCCCTTCCAACTGTGGTGATTCTGTGGTTTGAAGGATCTGCTTGGATGGAGTACCAAACCAGTAGGCAGCCTCTTCCCCCAGACTGGAGAGGTTAGCAGGGCACGTGGGCAGCCGTGTTTCGGTAGCGTGACTCATGTTGTTTTGCAAGCTGCTGGCCTCCTGGTGTGGGGAGGAATGCATGAAGTATTTGAGGACCGCTGAGTGAGACAGTAGCACATTGTCCTGAGACTGGGAAACCGTGCTCCGTCCCCAGCTGTGCCACTGACCTGCTGTGATCCTGACCTGGATGCATCTGCAGGGGAAGTGCTTTGCCCAAGTTGTGCTGAAAACTCCCAAACTGGAGTTTGGCTCGAAAACCGTATCTACAGGAGGGTATGTCCCATGACTGTCACAGCGATGAGGTGCTGTCTTGTGATGGAGCTCCTCAGGGAATTGTGAAAAGGTTGCTGGGGGCCTGTTGGCTCGAGCAGCTCTGTGAGCTGTACAGTGGGCAGGTAGCAGCCTGAATGGGTCTGGATGCTCTAAATTCAGTGCCTGCTCTGTCATCCACGCTTGGCTGCAAGGAGATGTGAGTTTTCAGCTGAAACCCACCGAAATTACCAGTTCATTAGGCCCCAGAACTGGCCTGTTGCAGCCTGTCAGAGCTCAGGGAGTTTATAGTGCTGTGTGTGACTAACCACCTACCCATTTTTTCATGGTTCAACAGCATCACAATATTAATATGATAAACAGAGGAAATCTTCACTTGGAAGAGATGGAAACTTTCCACCTTTTTTCAGTGCATGTCTTGAACCAAAAATTCCTTGAGACCAACTGCGGGGGGGGAAGAGGGGAAAGAGAGCTTAATCTGATCTACTGCTATCCTTGGAGTGTTTGACATGCTGCTGTGAAGATAAAAAACCATCAAGTTGGTGGGGCTGGAGCGTGCGTGAGGGTGGGGGGGAAATCTTTCCCTGCGGCTCTTCTGCTCCTTTGAAGTCATTGACTCATTGGAGTATGTTTTTCCTGTTTGTTCATTTTGTTGCTGTGGTGACTGGCCCCGTGGTGCTGCTGAAGAGCTAACCAGTGGAGGGCATGTTAATTCACCACTGTGCATGGAGATCGCCACTGATAAGACTAGTTTTCCCCATGTTCCTCTCTTTTTAGTCTGGAGAAGAGAAGGCTGAGGGGGGATCTGATCAATGCCTATAAATACTTAACAGGAGGGTGTCAAGAGGATGGGAATAGTCTCTTTTAAGTGGTGCCCAGGGATAGGACAAGAGGAAATGGGCACAAGCTTGAATATAAGAAGTTCCACCTAAACATGAAGAGGAACTTCTTTCCTGTGAGGGTGGCAGAGCCCTGGAAGAGGCTGCCCAAGGAGGTGGTGGAGTCTCCTTCTCTGGAGACATTCAAAACCCACCTGGACAAGTTCCTGCGCAACCTGCTGTGGGTAGACCCTGAGACCTGCTTTGGCAGGGGGGTTGGATTAGATGATCTCCAGAGGTCCCTTCCAACCCCATATCATTCTGTGATTGATTCTGTGAACATTGGGCTCTGGGAATGATGGAGCTGTTGGGAACACTGTGTGGGAATGCACTATCCCTTGAGTTGTGCCTTTGAGCTGGAAAGCTGTTGCCGTGGGTCACACAGGAGGAAGCTTCATAGTGCATTGGTTCAGTCTTTGGAGCAAAGCGGGGTCAGATGGGGCTGAGGCTTGGGTGGGAGATCTACACTGCTTGGCTGGAGGAAGCTCCTGCCCCTTGTCCTGGCATCAGCCATGAACTAATGATGCTGTTTGGGTTCTCTGAGCAAGTGGAGAAGGGGGAAAGGGCTGTTGGTGTTGCTCATCTAGGCAAATAAAACTGGAGGCCTTTGATTGATTGTGCTGTTAGGTCCCTCTGTAGTGTTGGGTGCTGAGGTGCCAGGGACCTGGCCAAGGTTGTGATGTGGATGACTAGCGTTTACCAGAAATCCCATGGTTCAACTGAGCTCCTGAGCACTGCTGAGCATGACACAAGCTGTAGCACAAGGGCTGACTGCACTCCAGCTGTCCTTAGAAGTTAGCTGCTGTCAGGGGTAATGACAGTAGGGCTTCTCTTGCCCAAAACTGGGGTTTTTGAGGTAGGATGGGGTTCAGGAAATAATCTATGAAGCCATGAATATTACCCATGCAAAGCACTCGTCCCTCCAGCCTGCTGGCTGGCATTGGGTTGCAGCTCTTCTGCTGTCCGTGTGGCCGTAGCCCAAGTAAAATCCGGCCTTTTTCCTCTTCCAGATGATGTGGCTGGAGGATGTCCCACGCGTGGCTCTGTCTGCATCGTGCAAACGTTCCGGGCCGGTGGCAGCCAGTTAGCTCAAAAGAGCCTGTTGGTAGCTTCGAGTCTGAAGTTAGCTACTGAGAGTGTAGGTGTCCCTGAAGGCAATGGGCAGCCTCTTGATCGTGGAGCAAAGCTGTGGGCTTTCTTACTTGGGAGAGGTACCAGTGAGAGGGCCCAGTGCTCTGTTTTGGCTCCCACAATTGAGGCTGAGCCAGGAGCTGCTGTGCCAGGGAGAAATAAGATGCTACCAGGCTAGGACAGCACTCCTGAGCTTGCTGGCCATGGTTGAAGCTGCCTTTGTAGCTCTGCTTGCTCTCCTGGCTGAGCTTTGGAGGTAGCAAGCAGCTGGGGGCCTGGGAAAAGGTCTACATTTGGTGCAGCTGTTTGCAAAATATGTGGCCTAATTTTTGTATGTCTCCACGGAGGCTGCAGCCTGGCCCGATCGTGCCTGTCTATGTCTGAGTCCTGTCCCATGGTGAACAGAGTTCTGTTCTTGAGGGGAGGGGTGGGATGGTGGGACACCAGATCATCATAGCATCTGTGCCCAAAACTGTCTGGTGGCTGGTGGAGAGATGGTCAAGTTGACCTTGAGACCTTTCCCATCTGCTGGAGAGGATTAGATCTTGGAGCAGACCCCTGCAGGGGTGCTTGTCCCCTTGAGCAAGCAGTATCAAGAAGAGATGAGAACTTTCACTCCATCAGCATCTGTCTGTTTTCCTTTCTAGCTGTTACTGTCTCCAGACACGGATTTTGATCAGTCTGAAAGCGACCAGGATATTTTGGGACTCCAGGGAAGGAACCGGAAGATGAAGCAGCCCAGATATCAAGTGGTCATCTGACAGCACCGAGACAAGGGAGCTGGAGAAAGGGAAGCAGCACCGTGTTCCTCGAGCCGGACGAGAAAGGGCAGGATGGGGAATGCCAGTTGATCCCTATGGATCTGCAGAGTTCCTTTTGCTGCCTTCATCTTCTGCAGTTGTCGTCTTTGGGGTGGTGGTTGGGCATCCTGTACAGGCTTGAGTAGCATCTGCCTGACCCTGACTGGTACGTGTGCAGGCACGGTGAGGTTAGGGGCAGGGGTATGTCCTTCCCCTGGTTGGCCCACCCCCTGGGTGTTATGGTTTGTCAGGGCTAGAGACTGTAATCAAAAGATTGTCTGCCTTTTTTTATAGGGAGGAGAAAAAAAATAGATTTATTCTGTACTACCTGATCTGTGATACTTTTATAGGCACAATACTCCAAAAAATTGGTTTGCGATATGTATTTAAATGTCTTGAAATAGGAAGATTGTGTCAGTGGATCTGATGCTTTTTACGGTTTTTAAAAGAAATGCAATAAATACTTGACCTAAAACTGCTTCATAATTGAAGTGTTTCCACGTGCTTAAGGTTTTGCAAGACCCAAACATTGTGAAGTGGATCTGTTGAAATCTTTCCTGAGCAGTTCCTCACAGGGCGGGCTGCCTTTCTGTAACTGGGCTATCCCTGCAGAAAGAGTTGAGCCATGGTCCTTCGTGTGAGTCACTTCAAGCAAAGCCATCAAGATGCAAAGCCGTGATGCTGCAGCATCAGCCTGTGGCCACTCTGGACCAGAACAGACTCTGAGATGGATCCCAGTTGTCATCTTACAAGTGAGTGTTCACTAGGAACTAGAAGTTGACTATTTTCACCTAGTTTAAAATAAACATATTTTTGGAGAGGTGATTCTTCTACTTTACTCTGCTCTGGTGAGACCTCACATGGAGTATTATGTGCAGGTCTGGAGCCCTCTGTATAGGAAAGATATGGACCTGATGGAGCGGGTCCAGAGGAGGGCCACTAAAATGATCAGGGAGTTGGAGCCCCTAAGCTATGAGGACAGGCTGAGGGAGCTGGGGTTGTTCAGCCTGGAGAAGAGGAGGCTCCGGGGAGACCTAATAGCGGCCTTCAAGTACTTGAGGGGGGCCTACAGGAAGGCTGGGGAGAACCTGTTTACAAAGGCCTGTAGTGACAGGACGAGGGGCAATGGCTTCAAGCTGGAGGGGAGCAGATTTAGATTGGAGATTAGGAGAGGGTTCTTCACTGTGAGGGCAGTGGAGCACTGGAACAGGTTGCCCAGGGAGGTGCTTGAGGCCCCATCCCTGGAGATATTCAAGGTGAGGCTCGATGAGGCCCTGGGCAACCTGGTCTAGTTGGGGGTGTCCCTGCTGACTGCGGGGAGGTCGGACTAGATGGCCTTTGGAGGTCCCTTCCGGCCTGGGCAATTCTATGATTCTCTATATAAAAACTCTGCAGGACTCCATTCAAAAACTAGATCTGAAGATTCAACTGAAGCCCCATTAACTAGCCCTGATGTTCTGGGTGTAAGGGAAAGGCCTCAGGTGGGGACTGCTGTAGGAGAAGACCCCTGGGTCATGCCGGATCCTGGCTCCAGATGTGAGGTGGAGGGCTTTGCCCTTCCTCCCTTGTTAACACACAGTATTCATCTATAAACACACAAAAATGCAAACCACTTCGCAGCCCTCCAGGGGAGTGAGAGAGCACGGAGCAGCTGCGTAGCGTGGTCCCAGACTGGGTGCAGACACACAGCTGTGGTGTCCAAATGGTGGATTGTCCTCAGAGCAGGGCCTGACCCAGGGTCCACTGAACCAATAGACCCAGCTGAACCACAGACAGGTCCAAGATGGTCCCCAGAAGTGTTGGGTGGGAAAAGAAAATTCCTTCCATCCCTTGTGTTTTCTTGGGTAAAATATTCCTTATTCAAGAGAAAATAAAGGATTGGGGTTTTTTGAACTTGGATGGCTTTTGACTTTTAAATCTGAGCTGAGACTGTTGAAGATGTTTGGGTTTTGTGGGGTTTTCTGGGTTTGTGCTTTTTTTTCCTTAACTTCAAAGTAGTTTAGAAGCAGTAGATGGGACTCAGACTTGCAGGGTCCTTGGTGGACTACCTGGCTGCTCTTGTAGCTGTGCAGCCTTGTGCTGCATCTCTGGAAATAAAGCCCCTTTTTTTTTTTTGCTTCTTCCTTATTTAACTTAAACCCTACTTGTGCTGGTGTGTCAAATGGCTTTTGGAACACATGGCACACGACTCTCCAAAGAGATCACTTCTGTTGCTTAGTGAAATCAGTTTCACAATGCAACTTTTGCTTGTCTGGCAGAGTTCTGTGCTGGAATAACTCCTGGGCTGTTTCAAGTCTTGACTGAAAATAGATTAAAACAGCTGCCCTGTTAGAAATTTGCTCCCTGTTTTGAGGAGTACTGCTATTTTGGGTTTTGTTCTTGCTATGGGGCTGTGTAGAGCAATGCTGCTGCAGTGTGTGAAGGGTGCAAATTCACCCACAGCAAAGTCCTTCTTCTGAATTAGAAGGTGAGTGATGTGGTCTTCATCTTAGCCCTCAGCTGAGGCTGGCTGAGAAGGCAAGAGCAGGGCAAGTACGATGGGGGAAGGTCATCCCTGCTGAGCATTGTGCAGCCAGTGCTGATTCAGGAACCCTAAATTCAGGAGCCCTGTTCCCTCCCTTGTCTGAAATGATGTGTAATTGATTCCTTTTCACTCCGAAGTGATTGCTCAGCCCTCATTCCTGAGCTATCTGAGCAGCTTCCAATCTCTAACTGTATCACCGCAAAACTAAGTGCTCCATGATGCTCTTAGAGATGAGAACAAATGTGGTGCCTTTATGTGCACTGCCTGGGAGCTCTCTGTGCTACAGCACAGGAAGGACATGGACCTGTTGGAAGGAGTCCAGTGGAGGCCATGAAGATGATGAGAGGGCTGGAGCCCCTCTATAGTGAGGACAGGCTGAGAGAGTTGAGGTTGTTCAGCCCAGGGGAGAGAAGGCTCTAGGGTAGACCTTAGAGACCCTTCCAGTGCCTAAAAGGCCTACAGGAGAGGTGGGGAGGGACTTTCTATCAGCGAGTGGAGTGATAGGATGAGGGATAATGGTTTTAAACTGAAAGAGGGGAGATTTAGATTGGGTATTAGGAAAAAATTCTTTACTGTGAGGATGGCGAGACACTGCAACGGATTGCCCAACGAAGCTGTAGATGCCCCATCCCTGGAGGTGTTCAAGGCCAGGCTGGATGGGACTTTGAGCAACCTGGGCTAGTGGGAGGTGTCCCTGCCCATGGCAGGGGGTTAGAACTAAATGATTTTCAAGGTCCCTTTCAACCCAAACAATTCTGTAACTGTGAGGACCAAGGCTGGACACATTTTCCATCTGAGAGAGGGAGGTGTTGTGATGCCCCCTTTATAGATGGGGAAAGCTCAACTTTAGGATCTGTGACCTGCCTTTGCTCTTACTGCTCTTGAGCAGCAGAAACACAAGCTCAGATTTCCCATGTCCTATGGTGCTGTATTTAAAGGCTGGACTGGTCTTCTCTATGTAGTTAAATTCTCAGTTTAATGTGGGAGTAGACCCCTAGGGCCTGTTCACATCACATGCTTCTTGCTTCCTACCCAGTGTATCGAGGCTGAAGGACATCATTGACCTTTCATTTTCTGCTGAAATTACTTTGGTTCCCAACCTATTGTTGTCTTGTGAGTGGTTTTCTTTCAGCCACCTGGTAACATGAGCTTGTCCAGTAGCATAAAACATACATAACCTTAGCTTTAAAACTTGTTTTATCTTCCCCAAATGAAAGCTTCACTGCAGCGTTCACCGTAAAATATTTATTGTGAAATGGATAACTGGAGCCTTAATGAGAACTTGAGTATATTGCTCCAGGTGCTTCACATGGCTGGGGGGATGGACTTGATCATTGTTCTTTTCAGGCCCTGAAAGAAATATGTTTCCTTGGCTGGAGGAGGAAGAGGAGTAACGATGCACCTGAAGCATTAGCAGTATGTGTGTGTGTGTGCATATACATATTTATATACATATCTATATAAGGGAGAGATGAGACAAGAGGAGAGCCTAAGCCAATCGCTCCCATTTGTGAGACATTTGAACAGCAAATTGTGGGAGGAGACTGAAGGCTTCAAAGAAATCTCTTTTTGGTAAGGCCAGTATGAAGAAGACATTGCCGAACCCTGGACTGTCCAGAAGTTCACTGCCACTATCCTCTTCACCCTGTGCTAGTGAAACAGGAGGTTATTTGTCTTCGTGGGTGGAGAAGTCAACTTCACAGATGCTTTTACTCATCTCATTTCTGGCCCGTGAGCACGCTGCAGAGCATTAACCCCCTTGGGTTATTTCATGCTCAGGATTGTGCTGAAGGTCTTGCCTTCAGTTCTTCCTCGCAGGAGAGTGTTTCTTAAGATAGCTGGGCCCAAAGCAGTAGTTTTTTTTCTTTATGCTTTGTTCCAAAGTGTGAGCCTTGGCATGAGTTTTGCACTAACTGAGCCTTCTGTAAGGATCTTCCACAGCCCAATTAAATTTAAGTGGTTGCTTTGGGCTGTTTCCCCTCTTCCCCACAACACATGGTATGAATAAGCAACCATGCTTCCTACCTGCTCTGCTGCCACGGGGCTAATTAGATGATCAAGAAACTGGAAAATCCCCCCCCTCCCCCTAGAAGCTGGAGCTTGACAGCAACAATATGATTTAATTGTTTACTATGCAAAAAATGAGTCAAGATTGAACTTAGTTCTGTAGATCTCTGGCAACTCTGTTTTCTCTGAACACATGGTTATCATTTAGCTCCTAGAGATGCTTCCACGTCCGCCCTCCTTCCTTTCACTTCTGGAAAGAGAGAGTATACATGAGCTCAACTTGGCCTTGCCATGAATATGTGTCTGTGGTTGTCAAAGTCCTCTTTGGCCAAGTTCTCTACTAAGCAAACTCCCCCGTGGCTGATCTATAGCATTATTCAGTGATGTCTCACTTTAAAATAGCCCACAGCCTTTGGGTTTGGAGGTTTCTTTGCAGAGCAGCACCACCTGCAGTGGGGGTGGCTGGCGAACCCTTCTGTAACCTCCTCCTGCCAAATTCCTGCTGCGTACAAATTCCTGCAGTGTAAGGAAGGCAATGGAGCTGGGGGAAATTGGGATGAAAAAATTTTGACGATTTGGAGTAAATAAACATCTGGGGGAAATTGGGATGAAAAAATTTTGACACTCCACCGCTATTAGAAAAGCATCTAGAAATGTCTAGTCTGCTTTGTAGGTTCATAAGCTCTCACAGGTGCCAGGTCATCATCATTTAGAGAATTTAAATCTCTGCTAAGCAGAAGTGATGCTCTGCCCAAGGAGGTGGCACGTCTGGTGGAAGCTCACAGCGGAACTTTGCTTCTCTCTGAGGGAGTCAAGACTCAAGAAATCACTAAACCTGCCATGTTATTTAAATGAGATTTTTCATGGACTGGG